ATAAACTTTCAGTGAATTCACGTTGTCGTCGATTCATGTCAAGACATTTATCAAGACAAGGTTTCAATTGAAAGTTTATCGTTGATATATACAAATTTCTATTCAAATTGTTGACGACATTTTATATCATAATAAGCTGGACGTGCAGTGATTTAGGCTATGTGCACACGGGCGTCGTTTTCGAGCGTTTTCAAAAACGTTTCTGTCCCTTTAATCGCTTTGATGCCCTGTTCACGTGGTTCAAAGGAAAATATCTCCAATATATTAAATAAACTACAGCTTCGGTCGTAAATTAATAGTTTTCGCATCCGTTTTAGCGTGAAAACGCAAATGAAAACGCTCGAAAACGTTACCGTGTGCACGTAGTCTTAGTCGAAATTATAACACGAAAAGGAACGATCGAAAATTGTCAATATATAAATGTAAATTCAACTGTTGACATCTGTGCGTGCGTATTAGATATATAAACACCTCTTGCCTTGTTTTATAAATACGCTTGTATGGAAGGAAATCATTAATAAAAGTCTCAAACAAATAGCTTTCTTATTGTGGAATACACTGTGCAATTTATCCCTTGGTCCCAATGGACAAAGACAAAGTTTTCAAACTTGAGTGTCTCAGATGTGGCGAAAATTAGCAAAAGCTTTCTTAAATCAGTGGCCCTGTTTTATATATGGGTGTGAGTTATGTAGACATAAGGGAAAGGACAACTGGAATTTAATAAGAATCTAATAGTTTTCCATGTGGTGCAACAGGATATAAAGACCTGTCTTAATAACATTTGCCTTGGATTTGTTAATTAACCATTGGAGCCATTACATACATTCCATTTTGCTTGTCAAAGTTCACAGACAAAATATTTACATGGGTAAAATCCATTTTGCAAGGCAAATTTCCCTATAACCATACAAACAGTCACTGACGAAACTTCCCAGTGATAGACGTGTTTTCAGGGATGGATCCAGCATGATCTGGTAGGGGGGGGGGGTGCTCTGCCAGCTCTGGTGTCGAGTGACTCGAGTTGTGTCGTCATGTGTGCAGCCCGCCATTAACATACAGCAACAGCAGTATTTTGACAATTTGGCAAAACAACAACCTCCATGTGGACGTGGTACAAGTGTACTGTGTACAATATCTCATTTTGTCTCTAATATTTTTTGCTTTATCATGAAAAATAACACACACACACACCCTGGCCGGGGAGGGGGGTATGCACCCTCCCCCCAGTAAATGCATCCCTGCATGTTTTGCTATTAATTGTTACATTACAACCACCCAAAAGTCTTTCAATGGTGGGTATATATTAATTGTAAGCTGTGAAGCTTTAGATTAACCCATTGTCTGCACTCTCCCCTGGAATAGTAAAATTGTCTGATGTTAGACAGAGTAAAAGCAGGGGCGTGTCGACAAGGGATGAGACAACAAGAACTTGTTGTGGGCCCCTGGCATTGTAGGCTCTTACATGATTCATGCCAATCTAGATTTAAATATTATATTTAAAACAAATATATGTCAAGAGCAATTTTATTTAAACATGAACAAGGGACATACATATAATTAGAGAATATACAGATACATCATCAATTTCTTTATTTATCAAATCATGGATGTCATGTGGCCAGCACATGTAACACAACTAGGCATATCCTATATTAGAAAGAGGTTGTTACATGTGTCACAATGCAACTTAATGGGTTTAGCATATTCACATGATATTAATTAAGGGGGTGAGTTCCAATTAACTATTTAACCAAGTGAAGCCTGGTTTACATATACCTGCTGTTTGTTGATGCGCTATTGTTGTTAAAAGTTCAACTAAATAATTCACAAAAGAATGTATGCATCAACAGCTGTAAACAATGATAATGCAGGCATATGTAAACCAGGCTTACTGTCGTTCCAATTGAAGTGTTCCTCAAATATTGATTCAATACATTACCGCGGGCTGACCAATTCATTTGATCAAGTTCCTCAAAATATTCATACACTTCCTAGTATAATTGTAAACTTCCCGTTAAATAGTTTGAATGCACCAATCACCTTTGTTGTTTGTGCAACTAACCAATCATAAATAGAAAGGAAGTGACCAGAAATGATCAAATTCTTGGAATTGGCCCTTTCACAGGAAGTGTATGAATATCTCGAGGAACTTGATCAAATGAATTGGTCAGCCCGAGGTAATGTATTGAATCAATATTTGAGGAACACTTCAATTGGAACGACAGTAAGATGCCAACAAAATGTTGATTTTTGTAGTAATCAAATTTCGGTAGTTGATATTTCCAAGTTGTTATCTCTCCTCACTTATTGAAATGGTTGCTTCAACAGAAAGATCTTTTCCTTTTATATATCAATTCACTTAACATGTTGCCAAATGTGTGATGATTTGACTAAAATTAGTAAAATATAATCAAAATGTCAACCCCTTCATATAAATAAACATGCCAAAATAATATTCCAGAAAACAATACAATTTAATATAATCCCTTTATTAAACAATTATACCTTACGTATCGTTCCATTCTTCGTTTTGCGTTCGAAATTATGCCAGATAATTTCCTCAAATTGTAGTTCCTCGGCTGAACAATTGATACATTGTAAACATTTGGCTGCTTGGAGCGAGCGATTCAATTAAATTTTCACGTCGTTTTTAGACCGCGAGAGACATTGCGATATATAATCCTTTCAATTGACCAACTAATTTTAGTATAACTTGAATATTTCGATGCATTATAAAACATTTTTAAAGTTAATACTCGCAAGCTTCGCTCCTCGCCTGGAGATTTCAAACTGAATATATAATTAGGGTCAAAAGCTTACTTAGGGGGTGGGGTACATTGACACGGCCACAAGGTACATTGACACGTCCATTTTGTTCGATTTATGGCAGGCCTCTCTCCCAGAAATTTTTTTTTCAAAACCCATTCGCAGGCTAGAACCCATAGAGAGGCCTGCGGAGGAGGCTAATCCCCTCTTAGGTTATCAATTTTCTATGGGTCACGTGACCAGCCCCGACCAGGGTCTTTGCTTCACAAGAGCAAAGAGCCTGGGAACGAGGTTGAGGTTAACGTAGGGTTAAGCTAACCCAGCTTTGAACAACCGGCCCCTGAAGATTACCAGTATACACATAACGATGAATTTATAGCTCAAGGAGATAGTGTTCCTGAAGGAATTACTTACTTACATTTCTAACAAAATTATGGTGAACTGTTTTATACTAGTTCTATAAGAATGCGCTGGATATAAACTAACGTTTCTTGTATTGTACTGATGAATTTGATCACTATAACAGAAAATAAGTTGTGGAAAGAAGACTGTAACCGGAACTTTCTGTACTTATAGGAAAATACAAATTTTCCAATGTATATAAGAAGTTGATCTTATTGACATCAAGTGAATTCAGTTTGCTGGAAAGCAGAGCAATATGCTGTTTTATACAACAGGTTCGTCTGCAGCTCTTACTACGTTAGGATTTTAGACGAATTTAGGCGATTTAAAGTGAGTTAAAACTTAAAGGGATATTGCAATAAAATATGTAGTTAACAGTATTATTCGAACAAACTTACATCAGGTACAGATCTGAGATATGGAAAATCAATGTGTAGATATAAACCTTTCTCTGTACTTCCAACATTGCTTCGATTATCTTCAACTTTCACATTGGCAATATCTCTGGAAAAGAAAGAATGTCCCATTTTTAATAGATTTGCCAGTTTTGGTAGTTCTAACCGGTGGGAACGCACTGACTGTAGCTACTACGATTGCAATGCCTGCTTTAATTCTACTCCGAACTCTAAGCGAACTGATTGGAATGATTTAAACAAAATTTAAAAGCTTTTGAGCGTGAAATTTAATAGTAACAAGACGCCGGCTCAGGCGTTTACTCTGGGTACAGGGCCTTACTGACTAAATGCAAAGTTATTTTTAACGTATGCTTACCAATGAAGGTATCTTTAATGGCATGCAGTCACCTACAACCATCTGTCATCTCGAGCTCTCCACACTCGGTATAGTATGGTTCCTTTTTGTAGATGCCCACCCCCAGACAAGTTTTTAAAAAAAACCTGTGTTCAAATCATTTTGCTGTACGAAGACGGGCCATGGGTTAGGGTTATGGTAGGACAAATGTTGCATTCCAAAGTACGTAGTAACTCATAATATATATATTTTTAATCATATATGGTTGAATCATATTCACCAAGGTAAAACATCATGAGCTAGATTAAACAGATTGTCCTAATATCTAACTTTACCTGCAACGCACACCTGTTTCATTGCTGTTAATTTTTCAGTCCACACTGGAGGAGGTCAGAAAAGTTTCTACTTTTATGAGGGGGGAGGCACAAAAAGTTTGCCTTCAGTCTGGAGGGGGGGGGGGTAAAAAAAGTTTTCAGTCCTTATTTTCTCTATTTACCACGCCCCCTCCCCATAACTAATGACCACTCCCTTAAAATCAATTAAATACATGAATTCAAAAAATAACTGTGAAAAACATTATTATTATTGGACGTTAAAACTCGGAAATTTTACATTTTGAGGGGGAAATCGGGAAGCACGCACATAATTTAAACGGTTTTCATTGCAATAATATGAACAACAAATGTGCTTAAAGTGGGACTAACCACAAATATATTTTTGGTATTCGTAATATTTGGGTTATTCTAAGAAGAAATGTAAGGTATCTAGTAGTAAAAAACCTCACCTTGATCAACTAGTTTTTCACTGTCAAAGTTTCCAGATATGATGTCATTAGGTGAATATTTGCAATTGGTACAAAATGCAATTAACCTAATGAGATCATATCCGAACACTTTGACTGTGAAAAAGTTGAACAAGATGGGATTTTTTATTTTTAAGATATATTACATTTCTTCTTCGAATGACCTAAATGTTATACACATACCAAAAATCATATTCCCACGAATGTGCTTAATTCCGTCCGTATGTCTTCGTGTACCACACGTGACACATCATGTCACATTTTGTGGCAAGTAAAAGCTGATTTACTAATGAAGTATCGGGTTTAGATTTTACCATTGCAAGTCATCAGGCCATATCTTTTTTGTTCTTCAAGGAAATACTTTTTTATAAATTTGCCAAATGTTTGCCAAAAGAAAAGCTTTCCGCCATCCATTTTCAGCTTTGTTAATTTCATTTTTCCCACAAAATAGTCCATGGCTGATCAGTAGCCAATCAGAATGTTGGATTCTGTAATAGACCATGACTAATAAGGGATGGCCCTTATACTAGACGTCGTGGGAGAACAGTTTAGAACTGAAAGAGCTATCCAAAACAAAATAAAATTAGTTTAGTTGTTATAGTACTTTTCAGTCATCACTTACCCAAGATAGGATCTCTGAGTCCATCCCATTCTAGCGCCCAATTCGAAGAGAAAATCGTCTCTGGCAGGACCGTCATCAAGTAAGACCAATCCATACTGATACAGAGCATTTAGATACTCAAAAAGACTTTTATCATCATTCATCACTGCTTTGTAATCATATGATGGTATGTTGTCTTGTAACATTTCTGCATCCCACAAGATCAAGTCATCTTTTACTAGACTGTCCGTGTTTAAACGTGTTTCTAATTCCTCCTTTTCAGGCATTCGATTGTTACGTAGCCATTCCAGATAGTATTTACTCTCGTGTCCATCCGGCCAAACGCACTTTAGGTGTTGACCATCATCAGAAAAGCTCGCCCTCTCTGCCTCGAGGTTCAAACCGACGTCCACGATGGTCTGTAGAAAGCTTTGGTTACTAGTGCGCTCGTAGCATTGAGGACATTTGCAGTTATCTCGCAGGAAGATGTAGGGATATCGCGAAAAGGTGCCATCGTTCCAAGAAACTTTCAGGTACCTTTTGTCGATGCCATGGTGAACGTTTTCTATGCGCGGATTGCTGTCGCTTTTGTTTATATTCTCTTCGTCGTTTCTCACTCCTAAATCTGAAAAATATATTTAAATAAGTTTTCTATCTAAATTCGTTTGGATTAATAGGTGTTTAAGGGGGAACTTCACCGTAGTGGATCATGAAAATTCACAAAATTTGGACCGTCACTATTAGCAGGTTTTTAAATCCAATATTCAGAACCAATATATTTTTAGAATCTGCAGAACTCCAGCTAGATGCTGACACCATATTGCGATCGTTAGTTATTCACTTTGATTGGTATGGCAACGGCAAAAACAGATTGCCGACAGTATAATATTTCTCCTGTTACAAAGTATAGATATAGAAATAATGACTAATATATAGGTGCATGCTATACATGCCTAAAGCTAGACCTGAGCCAAAAATGGTTCATTTTCATCAAAATGGTAATGAGAAATGTTGGGGGGGGGGGGGCAGTTCACATAGGTCTGAGAATCAGGTTTTGAGAAATCGACAGTTAAAATTTCAGTTTTATGAACAAAAGGCCGTTTTCCACTAGGCGGAATTTTCCGTGCGTTTTCGTTTTACCTCAAAAAACCACAACAGTCTGTTTCATCCGTATAGGGATTTCATCTATACGGATGAAACAGACTGTTGTGGTTTTTGAGGTAAAACGAAAAACTATATTACGCTCTATCTATATGGTATTGAGCACTGTTTGTGTTTCGTAAACCAAAAACTTAAGCTATATGTATATATGTATATATATATATATATATATATATATATATATATATATATATATATATATATATATATATATATATATATATATATATATATATATATATATATATATATATATATATATATATATTAAGATGAAAATGTTCTAGAGTGTGTGTTATATAATTTCCATACCCAGCGCAAGCAGAAAGATGTTGTCTGCCGCGGCTGGGTCTCGAACCCGCGACCTTCGAATTACTAGATCGACGCTCTACCTACTGAGCTACACGGTCAGAACACACTCACACACTCTAGAACATTTTCATTTTTGTCACACACTCTAGAACATTTTCATCTTAACATATTACAGAGTGTACAATTACACAACTAACATAACACTTGCAGAACTAGTATTGTTCGATGCTGAATTAATATAAACGAGTATGTTTATGACATTCAGTATATATTTCATAATTTCCAGTCTTAAATCCGTCTGACCGTGTAGCTCAGTAGGTAGAGCGTCGATCTAGTAATTCGAAGGTCGCGGGTTCGAGACCCAGCCGCGGTAGACAACATCTTTCTGCTTGCGCTGGGTATGGAAATTATATAACACACACTCTAGAACATTTTCATCCTAACATATTACAGAGTGTACAATTACACAACTAACATTTTTATTACTATTAGTTTCGTACCACAAGATGTGGCACTCGTCAGATAAATTAGCCTACGTGGTACGAAACTAATAGTAATAAAGATGCCTAGTGGAATTTGTTGAGTCGTTGCACTTATTTAATTATGCTCTGGATATCCATTGAGCACTCTGCCAAATGTTTTTGTAAACAACGAAACCTAATTCTATATATGTATATACATATATATATATATATATATATATATATATATATATATATATATATATATATATATATATATATATATATATATATATATATATATATATATATATATGTATGTATATATGTATGTATATGTATATACATATATATAGTTTTTCGTCTTACCTCAAAAAACCACAACAGTCCGTTTCATGATTCCTATACGGATGAAACGGACTGTTGTGGTTTTTTGAGGTAAAACGAAAAACTATATTACGCTCTATCTATATGGTATTGAGCACTGTTTGTGTTTCGTAAACCAATATCTTAAGCTATATATATATATATATATATATATTTTTGTGGTTTTGTTGAACTTTTCTTCAGACATACAAAGTAAAAACTTTTATTCGTAAAATAAAGTTTTAAAATCCCAAACGTTTCGCCGATCAAGGCTTCTTCAGTGGGAAACTAGTTAAAAGTCATATAATGTCCCTATATATATATATATATAATAATGAATAAATGTCAGATTGGTTTTCGGAAGAATTGTAGAACAACTGACCACTTGTTCGTTCTTAAAACCATAATAGATTGTTACAAATCAAAACGTAAACCGATTTTCACATGTTTTATTGACTTTAAAAAAGCCTACGATAGTGTATGGAGAGAAGGCTTAATTTTCAAACTTATCCTTTATTGTTGCAGTCAGAATTTTATGCGCCTAATGCTTAGCATGTATTCTTCAGTGAATTTGTCGGTAAAATTGGATAAAGGTTGTACTCCATTTTTTAAATCTCAAGTTGGAGTAAAACAAGGTTGTAATCTAAGTCCTACTTTATTTAATATGTTTATACATGCACGGGATACCAGATTTATTTAACAGCTCTTGTGACCCAGTACAACTCCAACGAAAGGCTTTTGCTCGAACCGTCAAAGTTTTCCTTGTGTTTTTCCGGTAGTCGAGTCCCTATCGATCGCAGTTTCTGGCGCTTTTTTTCATTTACCTACGCTGGAACGAGTTTATAAATTTTCAATGTATCTAATTTATGTCGAGAGTAACACACGGGCAATTAAATCTAATTGACAGC